AGTTTGATAAACGAGACCTCTTTGATGCCACTTTCAGATCACCTTGCCGCTATTTTTTCTTATTGTTAGTCATGACGATTTGTAGACCGAATAGTGCCGACGTGGACGAAGATGCTCCCCGGAGGCGTCGACTTCCTGGGGACAAATGCCTCCTTCCGGTCCGAAGGGCCATTCGTTATACGTCATCCCGCAGAAAATGAAGATCACCCCTTTCGGACTCATCCCACGGGTACACCTTTACGTGACTCCGAAGGGGAACGCGTGACAAGGCGGGAGGATCCGATAAGGGGATCACGTCCTTAATTCCTGGATCGTGACCCTCCGACCGAAGAAAATGGCACTTCTTGTCAGGGGCTTTCCTCGGGGTCATTACGAATGTCGAACGTCTCGCTTGTTCGGAAGAAAGAACATCTTTACGATCGGTTCTCTGTATTATATCCTCGGGTGTGTCGGAAACAAATACTAAGGGTAAAGAATAAAGCAACGCGCGCGCCAAAATCTTTAGGAGTATAAATTGTGTTAAGATATACGTTACATGTAAAAGAAAAAGAAAAGAATGAAATACTAAGGGTAAAGGATAAAGCAACGGACGTGCCAAAATCTTTAGGAATATAACTTAAGATATACGTTACATGTAAAAGTAAATGAAAAGAATGAAATACTAAGGGTAAAGAATAAAGCAACGGACGTGCCAACATTTTTAGGAGTATAACTTAAGATATATGTTACATGTAAAAGTAAAAGAAAGAATCAAATACTAAGGATAAAGGATAAAGCAACGGACGTGCCAAAATCTTTCGGAGCATAACTTATGTTAAGATATACGTTATATGTAAAAGTGAAAGCAAAGAATCAAATACTAAGGGTGAAGGATAAAGCAACGGACGTGAAAAAATCTGTCCGAGCATAACTTGTGTTAAGGTACACGTTACATGTAAAAGTGAAAGAAAAGAATGAAATACTAAGGGTAAAGAATAAAGAAACAGACGTGCCAAAATCTTTCGGGGCATAACTTGCGTCAAGATATACGTTACATATAAAAGTAATAGAAAATGCGGATTGAGTCCGAATTTTGAAAGTCATTTCGAGTTAGAGACTTCACTCGTGTCAGTGAGGAATAATTTATGTGAAAACTAATGGGTATGTTCTTACTTTTTTTTTATATATTAAACAGTCGGTCGTTAGTTTATGTGCGATCGAGCTCGATGCCATCTGAGTGATTGTAGAGAAACTTCTTTTTCTTACATAGATATTAACTAAATGAGAGGTCTTATGAATCGAATACGGAACTCTTCGTCGTTGTATTATGTCGTTTCATTAACTGTATAAATGTTACATGCTCCTGGAGTTTGGAAACATTTTTCACGCTCTACATACTTTAATACTTGCCTCTGGGTTCTTTGATTACGCAGGGTGTCCCATTTTAATAATTTATTAGAATGTCTTAGGAACTAGTTCTCGAGGGGGAAATGCGAAAAAAATGAAGGCGAAAGTAGTATTTACGATGGTGATGTTACAATAAGTAAAGCTTGATGTTTAATGAAACAATTTCATTCTAACCTCTTCTTTGAAAACCCACACCTTTTAACTTACTCACAGGTTAAAATTGTCCAAACTCTTCCTGTCGGGTGGGCATGCAAATATAAATGTTTAATTTGAAAAACCGTGGTGTCAATACAGTTGACTCCCATTGGAAAAAGTTCTACTTAATAAACAAGAGTACTGATAATGTTAAGTTCTCCAGTAAAGCTTGCCGTTTAATGAAACAATTTCTTTCTAATCCTCCAATACTTGCCTCTGGGTGCTTTGATTACGCAGGGTGTCCCATTTTAATGATTTATTAGAATGTCTTAGGAACTAGGGGTTTATTCCATAAAATTTGCACGTTTTCGAGGGGGAAATGCGAAAAAAAATGAAGGCGAAAGTAATATTTACGATGGTGATGTTACAATAAGTAAAGCTTGCTGTTAAATGAAACAATTTCATTCTAATCCTGTTCTTTGAAAACCTACCACTTTTAAAGGAACAATTTGTTGCCTAACTCATAGGTTAATATTGCACAAACTCTTCCTGTAGGGTGTGCGTACAACTAAAAATGTTTAATTTGAAAAACAGTGGGGTCAGTATAGTTAACTACCATTGGGAAAAGTTCCACTTAAAAAGCACTGACAATGTTAAGTTTTCCAGAATCACCTGTGTCCAGGACTCGGCTGCTCATTCTTTGCCAACGCGCAAACCTTTGTACATATTTTTACTACAATTTTGATCCGAGTTTATCAATCTATATGTTAAATAATTAGGGGAATCCATCGTTGCATTCTTTTTTCTCGACGCTCTCTCGCTGCTCCCTGCAACAAGTACATCGGAGCCGAGGGCGCGTTTTCGCTCGAATTTTAATACCGCCTCCATTTTTCTGGACCACTCGACGAATTCACTCGTGGTATTTCCACGGCGGATTAGTCGGAAATGACTCGGAAAACTGGGTGAAAATTGGGCCGGGCCGCGTTTCCGCGGTCGCGTCCGGAGTTCGGCCATTAATTCTAAATGCGGCCGCGTACGCGGCGAACCGCGGCGACTCAGGAACGATTTTCGATCCTCATTTTCCGATGGAGTTACTTCCCCGCGCCCTTGTCTCGTCATGGTGCACGTATTGATTTCATCCAATTTCGATCGTTCTGTCGAATTTATGGAAAAGCCGTTCTCGGAGGAATTTCCATTCTAAAATTTCACCGCCTTAGGTTATGTGAATCCCCTCAAATCAATTCGAATACACTTTTTTTTAAGGGTATTAGACCAAACTGTCCGAAACTTTGACACATCACTCCTGATCATCTAAGAATTGTCCTGACACATTCAAAATTTGGTTTTTGGAACAAATTCTTTAACTTAGCCCAGGCCAAACCCAAATGGCGTCGAGCTCTCATATTTCGATCAATATACAATTATCGAAGACTCTGATATGAGAAACGAAAGGGTCAGGACAATTTTACGACAATTTAGAACACTCTGGTAATCGATAAACTCGCATTTGAACGGGATAAAGGCAAAAAAAGTGTTGTATGCGCTTATATGCCAAAACGATGGGAATACGAGGTCTCGGAGTGAAAATTGAATTGACCTGGAAATCACAGATGGCGCAGGGAGTCCCTCTGCAGTCAATTAGGGCCCCAGAAAGCATGAATTCAGAGGATTTCTTGAGTTTTACTTCGATTTCATTATAATTATCGTTCGAAAACGACAGATGAAATATATTAGTACAATACTCAATATAATTCGACACGGCTGTCAATATAAAAACGAACGTCGGCAACGTATGTATTTAGAATAACCCTTTTTACCGACGTCAATCAAGTTCCTCGACGTAAATCACATAACCTTAAACTCTGACTCCACAGTGAATTCTTGTAGATATACAAAATTACGCAAGAAATTTCGTTAACCCAAAGACGTCACACGTGGAAATGCAGATGCCTTTCTGACTTCGATTAATCGAGAAAATATTTCCCGACCTCAGAAATCTGAGATCTAAAAAATGAGGTGGATTAAGTAGAACCTTCGACGCGTTAACACGTCGAGGTAACATTTTCTAAAGTCTGTAAACGAAAAGATCTTGAGCAAGATTCGGCGTTAATATTGCAAGACCGGACACCGGGAATTTAATTAATTCACCTCAGGTCCACAGCCAGGAACGTGAATCCTCGTTCGTAATCGAAAGGCGATCGATAATCGGGCAGTTGCGGTTCTCGCCAGGTCGCACCCCGTACACCATAATGGCAGCCATGAACTCTACCCTGGATCGAGGAAACTGCGACCTTTTTTCCGAAATTTCGGAATCCCGATCGAGCCATTTCGAAAACCCCAGATCTCTCTGTACTTACTAACAAGGAAGGTATCCCAGGTCGCTCTCTCCGATTTGATTTCTTTTATAATATGTTATAGTAGACTAAAAACTAAGCTGTACGTATTTTTTTTCTCTGCCATTAAACACTTTAAGGGGGTGGAACCACCATCCAAAGTAAGGCATATCAAAGGGCGATTTGGCAGTTTCACCCACAAGAACATAATATTTCTTAACCAATCCACCTGGAAAAGCTTTCTCATAACGAGAAATGAAAAATATGTTCTCAATTAAAAAAAAATTATGGGGTGAGCCATCCCTCACAAGGGTGAGCGTTCGGGGGTAGTTGCCCTAGCCAATATTATTTTTTCAGGAAAATCCAAAGACACGTCGTATTTCCTTTGTGTTCATACACAACATATATTTTTTCAGATTTTTAGACTTGAATTTCACAATTTTTTGCATAAACGTAATCATATTTAGAGGTGGCTCACCCCTTAATTTTTTTGAGAAAATTATATTTTTCATTTCTCGTTATGAGAAAGCTTTTCTAGGTGTATTGGTTAAAAGATATTATGTTCTTGTGGGTGCAACTGCCAAATTGCCCCTTGACATGCTTTACTTTGGATGGTGGTTTCATCCCCTTAAAGTGTTTAATGGCAGATGAAAAAAAAATACGTGTCGCTTAGTTTTTAGTCAACTGTGACATTAGTTTTTAGTCGACTGACACATAAATTCGACTTGGTATGAAACCTAAAGTTACATAAAAATGATATAAGTTAGAAATTGCGATCACCCGCAGTACTTCTTCGTTCGTGCTAAACTGATTTATACATTTAATACAGAGATATGCAATTTTAAATATTTCACATCGCTTAGGTTGCTTGAAATAAAACATTTATTTCACAACGGTCTCAGCAAGTCTAAATTCGACTTGGTATGAAACCTAAAGTTACATAAAAATGATATAAGTTAGAAATTGCGATCACCCGCAGTACTTCTTCGTTCGTGCTAAATCCCGGCTTTACTTTGCAATGTGATTTGATTTTAATAAGTGATAAGTTATATGCACTTTCCCCGGGATCGTGAGCGTCTAAAAAGTACACGAGTGCATCCAAGATTCCCTTCGTTAATATCTGATCATCGATCGTTTCTGTTCCAGCACTCGAGACGCCATCGAGACTTCACGACCGCCTCTACGGACACGACGACGGCCATCTTGGAAAATTCTCAAGATTTCTTCGCGTCTCCAACATCAATAAAAAGCAACGAAGAGCCGCCCAATCGAAGTGAGTGATTCCACGTGTCCCTTTAAAATGCGGGAAAAACTTAGCCTGTAATTGTGCAACCTTCAATTCCAGAAATTCTTACCTAACGATTGTTACTTCTCTTCTGAATCTTCTCTGAATATGCGAGAATATTGTAATCTGAGCACGGCGCACACGATAAAGGTGATTACGAAAGCGGCGAAGATTTGCAATCCAATGGAGACTTTCATTGATTGAAGGAATTTCATTAAGAATTAATTTAAGCGAGGTTGTACGCGACAAGGACGACGTAGAGCACGAAGCCGAGAATGAACACGACGGAAATGATGTGCAGAAAAACGCACATGACCACGTGATAAACCGATGACAGTTGAGAAAAAATTCTCATCGCTCGGAAGTGTCTTGTTTCCCTAACGAAAACCTAGGATTTCTTTTTCAAAATCTCTTAAGCCCGGTTTCTACGAGACTACCTTCACAAAGTTTAAAAGGACGATTAAATGTATTATTTCAATAAGCGAAATACGAGATGAGGCATGCAACGAAAACGAAAAAAATTTCGTCGAAAACAGATAAAGAACAGGGAAATAATTAATAATTAAATGAAACGTAACTGTTTAGAACCTATGCCGCAGAAGTAAAATGTTAGTGCACTTTCTTTTTTACAAGCAACCGTATAATTTATTCAAATAAATTGAATAACACCGGTTTTTTGCACGTAAAGTATTTATGTAAGACGGTGGAAAATGAATGCTGCGATGGCAATTCCTATCCCTAATTGTCAAACCGTCATACGGCCGGGGGTAATTAGGCAAAAGGGTGTCTAGCCCGATTTATTTAGGGCGCCAGGTGCGCGCGCGCATATGTATATTTCTGTTTCTTTTAATTTTTTTCAACGAACAAGACAATATCATTAGTTTGTCGCGTTTCTGTTCTCTAGAGCAAGGGCCAGGCCGTGATTACAAATGCCTAAAACTTACAAGGTCCTACTTGAAGAAGAAGCCTTACTTGAAGAAGAAGCTAGAGACTCTTTTCAGGAATCGACTTATCGATGTCTTACCTCGACTCGAAACGATATCGAAGAAAAATTTAGTTTCTACGTAAATTTGAAGGGTACACGTGCCAAAAGAAACCGAACCGTATGTTTCTGTTTCTTTTCATTTTTTTTCAACGAAAAAGACAATATCATTAGCTTGTCGCGTTTCTGTTCTCTAGAGCAAGGGCCAGGCCGTGATTACTAATGACTAAAACTTACATGGTCCTCTTATTTGAAGAAGAAGCTAGAGACTCTTTTCAAGAATTGGCTTTTCGATGTCCTACCTTGACTCGAAACGATATCGGAGAAGAATTTCGTTTCTACATAAATTTGAAGGGTGCACGTGCCAAAAGAAACCGAACCGTATATTTCTGTTTCTTTTCATTTTTTTCAACGAAAAAGACAATATCATCAGCTTGTCGCGTTTCTGTTCACTAAAGTAAGGGCCAGGCCGTGATTGCAAATGCCTAAAACTTACATGGTCCTTTTATTTGAAGAAGAAGCTAGAGTCTCTTTTCGGGAATCGACTTTTCGATGTCCTACCTTGACTCGAAATGATATCGGAGAAAAATTTAGCTTCTACGTAAATTTAAAGGGTTCACGTGCAAAAAGAAACGGAACCGTATACTTCTGTTTCTTTTCATTTTTTTTTCAACGAAAAAGACAAAATCATTAGTTTGTCGCGTTTCTGTTCTCTAAAGCAAGGGCCAGGTTGTGATTGCAAATGCCTAAAACTTACATGGTCTTTTTATTTGAAGAAGAAGCTAGAGACTCTTTCCGGGAATCGGCTTTTCGATGTCCTACCTTGACTCGAAACGATATCGGAGAAGAATTTCGTTTCTACATAAATTTGAAGGGTGCACGTGCCAAAAGAAGCCGATGCGAATAAAATCTTCCTCCCTGCAGGACGGAAGCCGAAAGATGGTCCATGGGCAGACGGGCGAGAGACGAGAGGAGACATCCGGTAGTCGACAGAGGATCACGAATTCAATATCTGACTCGTTGAGATTAGCATAGAGATCGACTCGATTCGGACAAGCTCGGCGGCACGCCTTTGCTCCAGAATCCACCTTCATCTCGTACTTCGCTCATAAACTCTACCAATCAAATTCCCATGTATCGAGAAAAGTGGATACCAGATCAGGCCCCGATTTTTGAAGATTCTCCAAGCGAGGATCAAAATAAGATATCTCGCTGGGAGTATCCTTTTCCTAGACAGAAATCTGCGATCGCTCGGTGGAATCTTTGCTGCAGCTCTAGTTCTGGAATATTGAGGGCAGCGTTACCTTTATTTTATCGATACCATATCGGAAGCATGCGAAGTGGTATTTTATTAATATAAAATATTCCATTGGAAGAGAACGGAAGAGAATGGAAGAAGTTATCCGTTCACCTGAGGCCACTTCGTTTAACAATGTCCCCGGAAAATCGTCACGGAATTTACATCTTCGCAATTTCAATATCATATTTTGTATTAATAAGCAGGCATTAGTTGTCGAAAATCCTTGGAGCTAATATGAAATTAAAATATATCGCGGTGAGTTTCGTCTTTGTAGATAGAAATCTTTAACGGTTTGGTTGAATTTCGCTACAACTCTAGTTCTGGAATACTGCGAGTAGTGTTACCTTTATTTTATCGATACCATATCGAAAGCATGCGAAGTGGTATTTTATTAATATAAAATATTCCATTGGAAGAGAACGGAAGAGAATGGAAGAAGTTATCCGTTCACCTGGGGCCACTTCGTTTAACAATATCCCCGGAAAATCGTCACGGAATTTACATCTTCGCAATTTCAATATCATATTTTGTATTAATAAGCAGGCATTAGTTGTCGAAAATCCTGCGAGCTGATATGAAGATAAAATATATCGCGGTGAGTTTCGTCTTTGTAGATAGAAATCTCTAACGATTTGGTTGAATTTCGCTACAACTCTAGTTCTATAATACTGCGAGTAATGTTACCTTTATTTTATCGATACCATATCGAAAGCATGCGAAGTGGTATTTTATTAATATAAAATATTCCATTGGAAGAGAACGGAAGAGAATGGAAGAAGTTATCCGTTCACCTGGGGCCACTTCGTTTAACAATATCCCCGGAAAATCGTCACGGAATTTACATCTTCGCAATTTCAATATCATATTTTGTATTAATAAGCAGGCATTAGTTGTCGAAAATCCTTGGAGCTAATATGAAATTAAAATATATTGCGGTGAGTTTCGTCCTTGCAGACAGAAATCTTTAACGGTTTGCTTGAATTTCGCTACAACTCCAGTTCTGGAATCTAAAAAGCGGCGTAATCTTTATTTTATCGATACCACGACGTCACGAGCACGCGGAGTGGTATTTTATTAGCATAAAATATTCCGTTGGAATAGAAGCACGGCAGAAAGGAAGAAGTTACGCGTCCACCCGGAGCCACTTCGCCTAACAACGTTCTCGAGAGATCCCCAGGAAATTGCGGAGTTACATCCTCGCAATTCAAATGTCATATTTTTATCAACGACAGGTTCGATAACGATCGCGTCCGCGTTCGTCACCGTCTGCGGCGATTTTTAAAATGCATTGCATCCAGGTCGCAGCTTCTGATTTTCCGTGAGATTGGTCCTCGACCGTTGTCGCGGTTGATACGGCTGGTGCGACGGTTCCGGCAAAGGGGGTCGAAAAATCCCCGGTGTAAATCAGATTTTCAGCAACAAGTGGATCGGCCTCGATCGGCCCGCTACACCGAGACTTTGTTTATAAAAATGCATGCCCATTTGCATTTCAGATCCCTGCTTGGAGAAGTACTGTGGGGCGGGCAGGGAGTGTCAGGTGTCGCCGGACGGTGGAGTAGCCCTTTGCGTCTGTGCCAGAAGATGTGCTCGCAGACACAGACCCGTTTGCGGCAGCGACGGCAAAGTCTACGCCAACCATTGCGAGCTGCACAGATCGGCCTGCAATTCGGGCTCACCTCTCACGGCTAGCAGACTTATGCGGTGCTTGCATCGAGGTAAGTTCTACGACGGAGCAATTGAATGACGGACCATCCCCGAGATGGACCACTTACGTAATGTAAGATGATTTGAAAGGCGCTGAGAAATTTACGACGTAGATGAATTCAAACTTATCTACACCCTTTTTGGTTGAAACGTCATTTTGAATACTCAAGAGGTAACATTAGCTGGCGCGACCCGTTATCGACATTTATATTCATGTTGTATGGATTATGGAATAACGTGATAATCGGGATATTTCATTAGAAGCATTTTTTTCATTTAGCTTGAGGCATCAAATTATTCGGTGCACCAGGTTTGGAGAAAAGTTTTATAAATACTTTGACGTTTTATATATATAGAATGACCTTCTTATTCTTACCTATCACCTTAATATGATATGAAAGGCGCTGAGAAATTTATGACGTAGATGAATTCAAATTCATCTACACCCTTTTTTATGGAAACGTCATTTTGAATACTCAAGAGGTAACATTAGCTGGCGCGACCCGTTATCGACATTTATATTTATGTTGTATGGATTATGGAATAACGTGATAATCGGGATATTTCATTAGAAACATTTTTTTCATTTAGCTTGAGGTATCAAATTATTCGATGCACCCAGTTTGAAATTACCCGAAATTACCCAATATTCTTCAAAATAATAATCAAACTTCGTAATCGGTGCATATCCCATTGGTCGAATTTATCGCCGGAATAAACCAATTGTTTATAATCGCACGTAACGCGAATATCGCAATGATTTTAATTTATCCGCATTTCAAGGTAGATAATTATTATCATCGATGTAAAATTGTAAATATTACAATATACAGAATTATACATACACTCGGCGATATTATATATTTATTCGGACAGAGTTGCGCATACCGCGTAAATTAATAACAATACTGCAAAATGTATATTATTCAATACAAGATTCTATAGGCTCTATGATGTCACATGTGAAATCCGGCGAACACGTGGATATTATACAAATATTGTAAAAATGGTATTCCAAAGTAAACGTTTTGCAAATATTTCAAATGTCTGGTGAATATTTAGTAAATGCCCGATACTCGTTAAATACATAGTAAATATAAGAGAAATTTTGTACTACCAGGGAGTGACCGCAACTTTCAACATTCCGTTCGTCAGCGATTTTAAAAAACGCCGTCTCTCGGACGCGGGGAAAATCTTTGTAATCGCGGTCAATGGGTCGCGGAAAATGTCCGCGCGGGCTGTTCTAAACGTCGCAATTTGTCGGAGAAAACGGTCTCGGTGTCCTCTTCCGATCGGCTTGTATGAGCACTTCCGGTGGCGGAACGCATTTCCGGTGTCGGCCGATTACCCGCCGAGTCGTGGAACGCACTCCTGGCGACACGTGGTCCCGATAAAACGTGACCCTTGATAAAGCGCCACCGCAGCTCTGCCGATAAAACCGATCGAGCGTGCTCCGCGCGGAACGGCCGCGTCCGGGAGTCGCGCGGAATCCCCGGAAAACATGAGAAATCCACGGACGTTTCGGATGTTACGATCGGCCCGGAAAAGACGAACGCACAGATCGCTTCCGGTTTGACCGAACATTTATCCAACTGTTCGACGGACTTTTACGCCGAGTCTTTAGCGAATCGACAGAGTTGACCGATTTTAGGACTTCGGTATTCTCTGTGGAATTTATCGTTTTCATTTTACTCCGGCACAGTTTTCCCTTTTCTTAGGTATTTATTCCCGGCGATCCTGTGAATTTTCCAATTGTTATCGGATGGTATAGTCGATGTATTAGTTATATCATAGCTTTTTTTTTCCTTGTTTCATTTTTTCTTTATGTTCATTTTACTCCGGCACAGTTTTCCCTTTTCTTAGGTATTTATTCCCAGCGATCCTGTGAATTTTGCAATTGTATCGGATGGTATAGTCGATGTATTAGTTATATTATAGCTTTTTTTTCCTTATTTCATTTTTTCTTTATGTTCATTTTACTCCGGCACAGTTTTCCCTTTTCTTAGGTATTTATTCCCGGCGATCCTGAGAATTTTCCAATTGTTATCGGATGGTGTAGTCGATGTACTAGTTATATCATAGCTTTTTTTTTCCTTGTTTCATTTTTTCCTTGTTTTCATTTTACTCCGGCACAGTTTTCCATTTTCTTAAGTATTTATTCCCGGCGATCCTGTGAATTTTCCAATTGTTATCGGATGGTATAGTCGATGTATTAGTTATATCATAGCTTTTTTTTCCTTATTTCATTTTTTTATTGTTTTCATTTTACTCCGGCAAGTTTTCCCTTTTCTTAGGTATTTATTCCCGACGATCCTGTGAATTTTCCAATTGTTATCGGAAGGTGTAGTCAATGTATTAGTTATATCATAGCTTTTTTTCCTTATTTCAGGTTCGACCCTTATTGTTAGTCACGGACTTATCTCTTCCTCTACGAAGATTTTTAATTTAATACTGACGATACAGGGTTTATTTTTGTCTAGTAGCAATACGGATAGTCGATCTCATGGAGAATGCCCAAAAATCGCTTATTAGGACTAATCCATAATCTAATAATTATAACGCTAATTTCTAATTTGGAATACTCTCTGCAGCGATCTGGGTGTTCCATTCTTCCTTAGTTCAAGTTCCGTTTAATTCCCTCGTGTCTCTCCATGTTGGTCTAAGTCATATATTTTTTGTTTCGAAATTACATTGTATTAATTTCGTTTGAAATAATATGGCGTGAAATAACTGATACTCATTTTTTTTTTTAATTTTGACTTAGACTACTTTCATAATTATGGGCACATATAGCGTCATTGATTCCGTCACGTACTCATCCTCATAACTTAAACTAATTTCTAAACGGTAACTCTCGCGCTTCGCTCTCTTATCTACCACCGCGGGCCTTTGGCCCTTGATTCGTTTCTTTCGGTTTAACATGTGATCGATGCCAAGAAAGATTCTACTAAATACAAAGAGAAATTTAGAAATATCTGAAACATGATTTCTCTTGATGAAATATTATGAATTGCGTGGAGATAAATCGCGATAGTTCGTACATCCACTGTGTATTTAAAAAATATTATTGCTTTGCATTAATGATAACGCAATTTTAACATAAGTAACAATTTGGTCATCGACCATTCACAGATGTTATCCGGTCCGAATATATTAGAGATAACTCCATCGGTATTATCAAGGAATTCCTGGGTTTTATTTTACGCTCTACTTTTATCCGGTATAAAAACAAAATTTATATTAATACATAGCAATCTAATCGAAAACCGCGTTATCGTATTCCTGGCGGTAAAATGTTATCTAACGTCTATTTAAGGTTTACTCGAAAGTGTCAGAAAAGATTCGCGCTCGCGATATATCTCGCTGTTTTCCGAGCGGCGTCGTCGAACGGCAAACTTCGTTTCCCCGCCACAAATCGCGAGGATTTTGAAAATCCAGAAAACAATAAAATTCCGAGGTTCTCCGGGGTGTTGCGCGCTCAAGCGAGAAGACAAACGCGCGCGCCGATAGTTCAGTCGCAACCGATTTCCCCTCGGATTTGTTTATCCAAGTCTGACTGGAAATTCGGTCGGATGATGGAAAAACACGTCTCCGTAGATTCTATAAAAGGGAATAATCATTTCTCCTCCATCGAATTATAAATGGATTCTACTCGTACCGTAGATAATAATCTATCGCGCGCTTCTAGAAGTAAGAACACAACTATGCACAATGTTGGAAAAACTCGTGCCTTATAGTTACATTGACTAAATGGGGAAGTAAACCTTACTATGTTTTTTTTTCCTATGTTATGTCGGTTACTTAATTGTGGTTTTCGTACATGTAGATTATTATGTACTGGTATCGCATATAACAATCTACCGCGTGCTTCTAGAAGTTAGAACACAACTATGCACAATGTTGGAAAAACTCGTGCCTTATAGTTACACTGACTAAATAGGGAAGTAAACCTTACTATGTTTTTTTTCCTATGTTATGTCGGTTACTTGATTGTGGTTTTCGTACATGCAGATTATTATGTACTGGTATCGTACATAACAATCTACCACGCGCTACTAGAAGATAGGATACAACTATGCACAACGTTGGAACAACTTGGTTTTTTTGTTACATTGACTAAATGGGGAAGTATATCTTACTATGCCCTTTTTACTATGTTATGCCGGTTACTTAATTGTGGTTTTCGTACATGTAGATTATTATGTACTGGTATCGCATATAACAATCTACCGCGTGCTTTTAGAAGTTATAACACAACTATGCACAATGTTGGAACAACTCGTTCCTTATAGTCACATTGACTAAATAGGGAAGTAAACCTTCCTATGTTCTCTTTCCTATGTTACATTGGTTATTGCAACCTCCTCCCAAGATTGTCCGGTATGTTGCCTTGCAATATAGCTACGATTACCACGATTGTGGCTTTCGTACATATAGATTATTATGTACTGGTATCGTACATAACAATCTACCGCGTGCTTCTAGAAGTTAGAACACAACTATGCACAATGTTGGAACAAGTCGTGCCTTATAGTTACATTGACTAAACGGGGAATTAGATCTTCCTATGCCCTTTCTCCTGTGTTACACTGGTTATTGCAACCTCCTCCCAAGATTGTCCCGAATGTTGCCTTGCAATAGAGTTACGACTACCATGATTGTGGTTTTTGTACATGTAGACTATTACGTACTGGTATCGTACATAACAATCTTAGTTACATTGTAACATATAGACATACATTGTAACAACTTAGTTACATTATAACAATCTTAGTAACATCAAGTTACATTGACTAAATGGGGAAGTAATCCTTCCTATGTCCTTTTTCTTATGTTACATGGTTATTGCAACCTCCTCCCAAGGTTATCCCGCATGTTGCCTCGCAATAGGGTTACGATTACCACGATTATGGTTTCCCTGCCTCCTCCTTTATCTACCTTGTATTTCAAGGAGACCAGCTGCGAATCCGTTTGAAGCAGACTTAGCAATGAAGCGGTCAATCGGCGCATT